ACATTTAGAAATACTGATATTTTACTGCTTTAAGTATTTACCTTCAGCACCAGTAATTTCATCTACGAGCGTTGAGAATATAGCTTCATATGGCAGTGGACTGATATTGCCCTCTGTTGAAGATTGATCTACAAACAATATTTCAGGTATTTCAACATTTCTTAAGAGTTGTACACATTACTTTCATTGGTGTCAACAGGCGCTTCATCTACGTCCATGGATATATCTGGGCATAAAAGAGATGGGTCGAAATCGTCATCCATTTCCATATCATGCTCACTGCCTTCTGTAGTCGCTAAAGGCGCAATTAATATTAGTTTCACAGGTAAACATATATAATAAAGTAATAGTTCACCTTGCTTTTCCAATGTCCCCTTTAAAATGGATTTTCCTTTTGAAGGCGACTTCTGGCTGCTGTTTTTGGTTAAGCCTGAATTAATTGCGACTTCTTCTAAAGTTAAATCGACGGCATCCACTAATTTAGACTCATTAGTGACATCTATGTCAACTACTTCATTCGAATTGTTTGATTCTGTCTCATTGCCCTTATTCGCTTCCGATGCTTTAGCTATAATCCGATCATTTCCTTCTACCCCTCGATCTTCGTCATCAACATTTTTATCTTGTGATAATGTTGTATTGCTTCGAGATTCTTCAACATTTTTGGTCGAATCTTGATTATCCTTATTAACGGTCTTGGCTGACTTAGCCACATCTTCTGTTGTAGTCTCAGCTTTTTCCTTTTCTGCGGTTTCATTTTGTGCTTTCGGGGATTGTGCTGTTGCTTTGTCCGCAGCTGAGTGTCGATCAAGTTCATCGATACTAACCGTATTAGAACCGATACTAGAACCCGTTTCTGTTTCAGAATCCGTTTTCGGTGTTTCATCTAAGTTGTGTCTTTGCACTTCTTTTACTTCGACTGGTTCGGCGGCATTTGTCTCACTTTTATTTTCATTCTTAGTTCGATCTTGAAGAGCTTCCTCTTTCGAGATTACCTGGTCGTCTTTGCAGTCGGATGATTTACTGTTTTCGATAGTTTCCGGATTATTTATACTGTCATCATTGATGATACTTTCGATATTTTCGTTACTGGAGCTAGCGGTTTGCTCATCATAATCCTTTTCCACTACAGATTCCTGATTGGACAACACCGCTAGTTTTGAGTTTTCTTCCGGTGCGTCTTTGCTTGTGTTTTCGGTTGGTTCGGCATCATCCATATTAACGGCCGCTTCAGCTACAGAATTTTCGCTAATTGAATCGACATTAGACGACGATTTTTCAACAGAAGCGTCGTCGCTCACCGAAAGTGAACAAATTTCAATAAGCCAATTTTTTATTTTTTGCATCTGTTTTAAGCGCCGATCTAACCTAGTCTGGAGCTGAGAACTTAATCGATGCTTTTGCCTAAAGAATTTTTGTTAACTCGTAGCAGGAGACCATAAGGGTTTTAATTTTTTCGATTTAAACTTTAAGCCGGATTTATAAACTTAAGGTTTAAGGTTAAGTAAGGAGTTGGATTAGGCGCTACCGTTGGCGTTACGTTTTGTACGTACGGCAACAAAAACTTGCGTAAGGACCGTTAGAAGGGTATCAAACAGGGAAATCATTTATAACTATATAATAAATAATAAACTAGTCTAGACTAACTAACAAGAAAATCAAGATGGAACAAAGGACGCCTTTGTTTTTTTTGCGAATAACAGAAAAACTCTCCTTTTTGTTTAGGCGCGAATTTGTGGCACTTGCTACCCACGACAGATTTGTATTGGACAACGGCACAATGCTACGACCGCCAGCGTCAAAAAGATGAAATTTGTTTATCTCTGAGGGCAGCCGAACCTTGTTTTTGAGCCGAACGGCGGCCATCGC